CAGCTGTAAGAATTTTTTTAGTGTATCCTGACCGTCAAATTTTTCCAAAAATTCATTTATAAATTCCGGTCAAGTTGGATATAATGTCCCACCAACCACAAGCTTTTCTTATTGACTTTTCTGACATTAAATTAACCCATATATACGACGTTATGCAGGCCTCCATGAGTACTTTAATAGCGTCACTTAATAATCTTTGCGGGTCCTCAACTCTAGTGACTTTATACTCAGGTAAGTATTTTTGGACCAAATCACTGTTTAATTAAGCCGCAACAAATGATTTTACCGCGGTTGTATTATTCGCTGTGTGGTTAAAATTAGTATTTTGACTATCGAAATAACTATTCGGTTGACTACCTAAACACCCGTTATTATTATTATTATATATTCCATCAGTGGTAAATTACGGTTTAGTATAATAAAAATTATTCGGTTCATGTAAGGCAGTTCCGTTCTTAAAATAAACACAATATTTTACTTAATATAATTAATTTTATTTTCTCAAGCCGTCTCCATATTACCATTGTTATACGGTTGATGAACACGGTTTGATTTAACAAAGTTATATTTTTTGAGAAAAAAAACTATCATCGTTAGAATCTCCGATATTTGATTTTGCCATTCCGTCAATATTATGCGGTTTCAGGTTTTTTATTTGCGCCGCGTAGTTAAAAGTTGAACTATTTTGTGTCTGTAACGTAACTTGTTTTGCGGACAAGTCCGTTAAAATTTTTTCGAGTTTTTCTATTTGTCCAACTAACAAATTAAATGTTTGTAATCGGTTTTGAATAATATCAATGTCAATATCTTCTTTATATACGCGGTCGGATAACGTGTCGAATTTATTTCCCAAAAAGTCCATACGACTATTTTTTGTGTTGTCTAAACATTTTATTTGGCCTATTGATTTCACCGCCGCTCGATTAATTTTTGTTAGGAGTTTTCTCAGTTTCCGTATCCACGTTTTCTATTCTAAATTTACAATTTTGCGGGTTTACGTTCTCTATATCTCTAAAGTAACTTTCCAACGCTATTTTGTCGGCGGTAGTCCCCTGCGAATTTATGTTACGTTTCTGCAATNCGCTATTATTTTGTCGGCTTTAGTCCCCTGCGAATTTATGTTACGTTTCTTTATTTATTTCGTCGATCGTTAGTGTTATTAATTGTTTAATCATTTTAATATAAATAAATAAACTTTAATGGATAGACTAGTATTAACGAAAAAAAACATTTTCTAATATCCCAAACTTATTTATTTCCGTGTTAGCGGTCTAATAAATATAATTCGGTTATAGTAATAAAAAAATGTGTACTATTTTCGCGGTAATAATTAATTAAAATAATTGCCAAACTACTTTTTTCTTTCTTTGTTAAATAGTGAAAAAAGAAAAAAAAGTGTGTAGTTCGGTACTTTTTATTATTTCCGCGCTCAACGAATATTGACCAAATTATTTATTTCCGTTGGTACGGTTTAATAAAATGGGTTTTTTATGCTTTTGCGGTAATAAATAAGTTAAAAATGATCTAACTAGTTTTCTGTTAGTACTTTAACATATTTCCGCGGTATTATTCGGCTCCAAACTTATTTATTTCTGCAATGGCAGTTAATAGTGCCATAACTTTTTCAAAAATGAATATATCAATATAATTCTTTTTTATATAGATGCATAATATTATTACCTTTCATTTGGTATATTTTTTTCATAAATTTAACCCT